CTGAGTCAGATTCAGTCACTCATTGGTTACCCCAGCAAATTCTTAAGATTGCCTATGTGCTAGCACTGTTCTTGCCGCTGGAGGTCCAGAGGAAAGTAAGGTAAAAAGGATCCTGGTTTTTGGAGGAAAAGAGATGATTTCCGACATCGATAAACACCAAGTAAATAGGCTGGGCGCGGTGGCTCACGCCTGTTATCCCAGCCCTTTGGGAAGCCGAGGCCGGTGGATCACCTGAGGTCAGAAGTTCGAGACCAGCCTGGCCAACACGGCAAAACCCTGTCTCTACTAAAAATACAAAAATTAGCCAGGTGTGGTGGCACATGCCTGTAGTCCCAGCTACTTGGGAAGCTGAGGCAGGAGAATCGCTTGAACCCGGGAGGCAGAGGTTGCAGCGAACCGAGATTGCACCACTGCACTCCAGCCTGGGTGACAGTGCAAGACTCCATCTCAAAAACAAACAAGCAAACAAAAAAACACCAAGAAAATAAAGTAGGGTTATAGGAGAGAAAGTGGCTGTGGTGGTGAGGGGAGCTTCCCTTAGAATGGCTGGACAAAGATGCCTGGAAACATTTGAGCTGAGACCCAGAAAGAAGCCAGCTGTGAAAAGCATATGTACAGATATGTTGAGAGAGAGAACATGTTATAGGTATTGGCTGGTTTTTTTCTGCCTTCCCTCCCTTTATTAGAGTATTATTCCAGAGGCTGTGTCTTGTTCCTGCTATGTCTCCCAGAGTCTAGAGCAGTAGAAGACACATAGTAGGTGCTCAATAAATGTTTCACGAGTGAGCGAGCCAGTGAGTGAACAAGGCAGAGGTGACATGTCGCCCCTGGGCTTTCTTTGTAGAGATATCGCCATGATGGACGAACAGGGCTTCTGCAAGATTGTGGGCCGCTCTAAGGATATGATCATCCGGGGCGGCGAGAACATCTACCCCGCGGAGCTCGAGGGCTTCTTTCACACACACCCGAAGGTGCAGGAAGTGCAGGTGAGGCACCCGGCCCAGGGGAGTCCCCAGAAACAGGGAACACACATGAACACAGTGATGTCTGATATTTTTCCCTGGCCCTGGAAGGTGGTGGGAGTGAAGGATGATCGGATGGGGGAAGAGATTTGTGCCTGCATTCGGCTGAAGAACGGGGAGAAGACCACGCCGGAGGAGATCAAAGCTTTCTGCAAAGGGAAGGTGGGAGCCTCCTCCCAACCAAGCTGATGCTGCTGGGTTCTTTGCCCATCCCCTCCTCTACCAACCAGCCCGGGGTGGGGATTGCTCCTCCCTTAACGAGGCTGACTCCCAGCCAGGCGAGCCCTGGTCCCCTTCCCGCAGCCCTGTTAGCTTGCCCAGCCTCATGCCCGCCCTCCTTGCCTCTGGTCCGCAGATCTCTCACTTCAAGATTCCACGCTACATCGTGTTTGTCACAGACTACCCCCTCACCATTTCAGGAAAGGTGTGTAAGGTGGAGGAGACTGGGAAGGGCAGCCTGGGTTCTGGGGGCCCACAGGGCCCCTCCTCTGTTTCCTTCAGCAGTGGGTGTGGAGAGGCTGGCAGTAGGGTGACCAAGTCACCTAATTCTGGTTTGCCTCGGGACTTGTCCTGTTTTGGCACTAAGACCGGAGAAGCCCCTCAGTCTTGGGCAACCCAAGATAGCTAGTCACCCTAACTCCTTTTCCTTTCTTCTAGGTCCAGAAATTCAAACTTCGAGAGCAGATGGAGCGACATCTAAATCTGTGAAGAAAGAGGGAGGAAGGATCCACCCCAGCCCTCCTCCTGTCCATCCCCCACACTCCCCTGTCTGTCCTTGTGATTTAGCATAAAGAGCTTCTGTTTTCTTTGGCCTCTTGCTGGTGGGCTCTCTTGGCAGCTACTATGGGATGGAGAAGAGAAGACAGTGAAGAGAAACTAGCACTTTCAGACCTCCTATTCCTTGTCATCGAGAGTACAGAGCACCTTGATGTGGTTTATCTACTTAATTTAACCCTCACCTTTGGTATTCCTTTGAGATACCAATCCTTTTTTTTTTTCTTTAATTTGAGACCAAGTCTTGCTCTGGAGTGTAGTAGTGTGCTGTCAGCTCACTGAAACCTCTGTCTCCCAGATTCAAGTGATTCTCCTGCCACAGCCTCCCAAGTAGCTAGGATTACAGGTACCCACCACCAACAACTAATTTTTGTATTTTCAGTAGAGGTGAGGTTTCACCATGTTGGCCAGGCTGGTTTCAAACTCCTGACCTCAAGTGATCCACCTGCCTCAGCCTCCCAAAGTGCTGGGATTACAGACGTGGGCACTGCATCCGGGCCTCAGTTTTTTATTTTTAAGCTACTCTAATTTAATTTTTCTTCACACTGTTGCCAGATTAACAAGAAGTATTCTTGTTTTATGTAGCAGCTTGTTGGAGATATACTCACATACTATCCAATTCATACCCCCACCCCCGTTTTTTAGAGACAGGATCTCATTCTGTCACCTGTGCTGGAGGGCAGTGACATGATCATAGCTTAATGCAGCCTCGAACTCCTGGGCTCAAGCAATCCTCCCACCTCAGCCGCCTGAGTAGCTGGGACTGTAGGAATGTGCCACCGTGTCCAACTAATTTTTAAACATTTTTTTCATAGAGACAGGATCTTGCTATGTTGCCCAAGCTGCTCTAGAACTCCTGGGCTCAAGCAATCCTCCTGCCTCAGTCTCTCAAAGTGATGGGACAATCCACCATTTAAAGTGTAGAATTCAGTGGTCTTTAGTATATTCAAAAATAAATATGTGTAACTATGACCACAGTCAATTTTAAATATTGTCATCACCTAAGAAAGAAACCCCATACCCTTTTACTACTATCTCCCATCCCCCAAGAAATAAAAACAGCTGAGTTCCAAAAGGCACATAGGTTCCCAGTTCACAGGAATGGCAACTTTGGCCTACCTGCACCCTTTCCTCCCAGCGTACCTGCCTGTAGCAGCCTCCTCTTCACTTTTTAAGATATGAACATAGGTTTAAGGCAGTTTCAGTACCAGGCTCTATGCTAGGTACTTTCACTTAATTTTCTCTCCAAATCTTCCCAACAACCCTAACAAGTAGCCATTGGTCCCACTTCACGAATGACTCAACAGAAACTCAGGGAGATTCAGTATCTTCCTCAAGGTCGCACAGCTGAAACAGAACCTAGTTGTCTGTGTAAGCAGGTTCACCGTGCACTGGTTACCAACTTTTCTGAGTCCAGTGAAGCAAACACACACAAGTTCCAGTGAGGCAAACACAAGTGACGTGGGGCGGGTTTATTACCTACAGGTAGGCAGTCAGCGACAACAGAAGGCTGGGACTCATTTGGAGCTGGACCCCCAAGGCTCAGGAACGCTGCTGAGGCAGATGGAGGATGGACTCTCATCTGTGCATGCCCGACTTGTTTTTTGTTGTTGTTTGTTTGTTTTGAGATGAAGTCTCGCTCTGCTGCCCAGGCTTGAATGCAGTAGTGTGAACCCTGGGGTTCAAGCAACTTTCCTGCCTCAGCCTCCCTAGTAGCTGGGATTACAGGCATGCACTACCAAGTTCGGCTAATTTTTTTTAATTTTTAAATTTTTTTTTTTTTATTTTTAGTAGAGACAAGGTTTCGCCATGTTGGCCAGGCTGGTCTCAAACTTCTGACCTCAGATGATCCACCTGCCTTGGCCTCCCAAATGCTGGGATAACAGGCATGAGCCGCTGCTCTTGGCCAGCCTGACTTGTACTGAAGCTGAGGGACCCCAGAAACCAGCTGCCCTGGGTTTTACACCCTGGGCCCATGTGACATGTTGGGCTGAAGTGCTGAAGGACATCCTTTTTCTAGGGGGACTGGAACAGAGCCTGGCCGTGCCGGCCAGTCCCTCCTTCCCTCAGGATGTTGCATTTTCTGCACACTCCAGAGTTATTATTATTATTATTTTTTGAGATGGAGTCTCGCTCTGTCGCCCAGGCTGGAGTGCAGTGGCACAATCTCTGCTGACTGCAGCCTCCACCTCCAGGTTCAAATGATTCTTCCTGCTCAGCCTCCCGTGTAGCTGGGATTACAGGTGTCCTATAACCACGCCTGGCTAATTATTTTATTTTTAGTAGAGACAGGGTTTCACCATGTTGCCCAGGGTGGTCTAGAACGTCTGATCTCAAGTGATCTGCCTGCCTCAGCCTCCCAAAGTGCTGGGGTTACAGGCATCTACAGTTATTCTTGATAATTATAAGCAAAAAAGGAGGGGAGAACCAGGTCAGTTCAAGGCCACTGGGAGAACTGTCCTGCACCACCTGACTCTGAAGCCCATGATGTTTCTGCTTTGTGGGACAGTTCTTCAGATGCCTGCTTCCCCAAGCCTTCCCGGGCGCTGTCTCTCCCGCACACGCCATCTGACTGTCCTCCCAGTATGTACACCTCCCGGTGCTTGGGTTGGCCTGACCCACAGCAGTCTACTCTCCCGGCCAAGCCAATTGCCCCTGGGATTTTCTGCTCCTCCAAGATCCAGCGCATTGCCCTGGTGGTGGCTCATGCCTGTAATCCTAGCTACTTTGGATCCTGAGGCAGGAGGATCGCTTGAGGCTAGGAGTTCAAGACCTCCCTCCCTTCCCTCAAATATTTTTAAATGAAATTAAAAGAAAGATCCAGCCCAAGTGCCTCTTCTCCCCCACTGACTCCCACACTCTTGTAACAGATGACCTCACAACAGCACTGAGCGCACGGCTCTGGTGTCCAGCAGGCACGGTATTAATACGCCTTGCCTCTCTCCTGTCAGACTGCAACCTGGCTTTATGCACCTGGATGTCCTCAGCACGCAGTTCTGAGGCAGGCACATAAAATGTCAAGGAACTGACTGAACGAACTAAGAGCTCCTGGATGGGTCCGGGAACTCGCCCGGGCACAGGGTGCCAAAAGGCAGGCAAGCCCGTCCCGCGGCCTGGGGAAGAACCGACAGGCGGCCGCGGTGAGCGCCCGGGCGCCCGGCAGATGGCGCCGCATCCCCAGGCCGGGCCCTCTCGGAGCGCGGTCACGCAGCCGCTCTTCCTTCCGCCGCGGCGGCCCCAGGGTCCGGCTCCGCGCTCACCGTGGGCCCTGCGCGAGTCTCCGGCTCGGGTCCCTGCCCCGCGCCGCGCTGGGCGCCATGGCGCTCCCCGGAGCCCGGGCCCGGGCCTGGGGCTGGACGGCAGCAGCCAGAGCCGCCCAGAGGCGCCGCCGCATGGAGGGAGCGGGAGGGTCCCCGAGTCCTGAGCCTGGGGGCCCGCGCGCGGCGCTTTATGTACACGTGAGTAGGGGGCGGGGGACGGGGCGGAGCCCGAGGTGTGTGGCCGCAGCCTTGACCGTGCCTGTGGCGCCGCTTTACGTACACGTGAGTGGGGGGCGGGGGACGGGGCGAAGCCCGCGGTGTGTGGCCGCAGCCTTGACCGTGACTGTGGCGCCGCTTTACGCACACGTGAGTGGGGGGCGGGGCGGAGCCCGCGGTGTGTGGCAGTAGCTGTGGCCGTGACCATGGCAGTCCAAAACCCAGTTGGCGGCTTGTCACTCTATGAACTCGCCTGCTGTGTTTCCATGCCCCCGTATGAGGTCTGGGATGGGACCCAGAGCCCTGGCAGGGAAAAGCCTTGGTCCGGAAACCTGAAGCCTCTGCTACTCACCAGCTCGGTGACTTTGACCAAGTGGTTCAAATTTCCTAACAGTTTTTCTCTTAGCAAGACAAACTTTTTGTACAGAGCAATGGTTTGATTCGGTAGCTGGGAAAGACTCATAGGAAAATTGTATGGAAATTCTATGATCCCAGAAACAGCTTGGGTTGAGTTCCTTCCTGACGTCTGCTGGTTGGAAGAGGCAGCATAACAAAGTAGTGAGCCTCAGTTTTCTCACATTGAAGTGCTTATAATAACCCCACTGCGACCTGTCTTGGGGAGTTGTGTGGCTTAGATGTCCTGCCTTCTGTGGAAGGACCTTGGAATGGGGGTGGGGATGGGGATGTGTGCGACTGAACCCTGGAAGTGGCCTGGGCAGCTCGGAGTCTCCTCTCACCTCACACGTGCACTCACTGCCCCCAGTGGCCTTACTGCGAGAAGCGCTGCAGTTACTGCAACTTCAACAAGTACATCCCTCAAGGCCTGGAGGAGGCTGCCATGCAGAAGTGTCTGGTGACCGAAGCGCAGACACTGCTGCGGCTCAGCGGGGTGCAACGGTGGGTAGTGGGGGCTGCAGGCCGCGTTTCGTGAATTATTTGGAGGAGTGGTGGGGGATAGGTGCAGGCATCCTAGAGGGCTTCCCCAGGTTTCCTTTCTCCATCCTCTTTCCCCAGCGTGGAGTCCGTGTTCTTTGGTGGGGGGACCCCCAGTCTAGCCAGTCCCCACACAGTGGCTGCTGTCCTGGACGCTGTGGCACAGACAGCCCACCTGCCTGCAGACTCGGAAGTCACATTGGAGGCTAATCCCACTTCAGCTCCAGCCTCCAGGCTGGCGGAGTTCGGGGCAGCAGGGGTCAACAGGTTGTCCATAGGCCTCCAGGTAACCCATGGCACCCACCCCATCCCAGTGCACCGCACCCTTCAGTGCTCTCTCACCTTTGGTCACATTCCTTCATTCAGCATTGATTGAGCTCCTTCTGGATGCCAGGGACAGTGTAGGGCCTGGTGTAACACTTTTGTAACTCCTTGTCTGCTGCTGTCATAGACCACAAACTTCATGAGAAAGGGATCAGACGTGTCTTTTTCTATTTCAAGCACCCACCATAGTGCCTGACATGTAGTAGGTGCTCAAAAAGAATATGCCACATGACTGGAGACACGGGGGAAGCAGACATGTAGCCAGATCATTGCAGCATGGTGAATGCCTCCTGTAAAGGGGGTCTCTGTAAAAGGCTTTCAGAGTACAGCCTGAAGGGAGCTCAGTCTGATGAAATCACTGAAACTTCCTGGAGGAGGTAATGTTTGAATGAAGAGGAAGAGTTCCCCAGGTGGGGGCACATGGGAGGAAATGACACAGGACGTGGAAGAGCCTGGCATGTTTTAGGGGAGCTGTGAGTCATTCCTTGTGACTAGAGAGGCTGGAGACAAGGCTTCAAGGTAGAGTTGAAAACCTTTGGTGCCTACTAAGAAGTTTGGGCTCTTTCCTAGTAGTGATAGGGAGCCATTGAAGGTTTTTAAGTAGGGAGAAACCTATTCCTCTCAGGTTGACCTCTGATATTTCCATAGGACTTCCAGGTTGTGGGCTTTGTTCTGGTGGAATATACTGACAGAAACACATCATTTCTAAGATATACTTACCCCACAATGCATATCTTGAATCTGATTGTGAGGAAACATCAGGTAATCCTAAATTAAGAGATGTTTAAAAAATTATTGTGGTAAGAACAGACAGAATGAGATCTACTCACTTAACAGATTTTTAAATGTACAGCAGTGTTACCTTTAAACAGTGTTGTGCAGCCGATCTCTAGAAATTCTTCATTTTAAAAAACAACTGGCTTGGATTCTTCAAAAATGTCAATGTCATGAGAGACAAAGAAAGGCTGGGAATCTAAAGGAGACAGGAGACTGCTGACTGCAAAATGTGGGCCCTGACTGGGGAGGAAGGGAGAAATTACTACAGTAGGTGTTATTGGGACAATTAGCCAAATTTGAATATGACTATGGATTACGTAATGGTATTGTGTCAATGTTGCATTTCCTAAACTCTGTAATTGGATTGTGGTTATGTAAGAGAGTGTCCTTGTTCTTAGGATATACTCACTTAAGTATTTAGAGGTTAGGGAGGTTATAACATCTATAACTGCTATTCAATATAGTGGCCACTACCCACAGACTAGTGAACATTTGCAATGTGGTAAATTAAGTTTAATTCAGTTAAATTTAAATAATCACATGCAGGTACTACCTATCATATTGGACAGCACAGCTATAGAGCATTTCCACCATTGTAGAAAGTTCTTTTGGACAATGATGGTTTATACCTTACTGCTAAATGACTCAGCATAATAGCATGTATGTTTAAAGAGACACAAATCTGAACAAATATTGGTGAATCTAGATGAAGGTGTTTTTTGTGATTTTCTTTCAAGTTTTATGTAGGTTAGAATTATTTAAAAATGAAAAGTAGGCCAGGCGTGGTGGCTCATGCCTGTAATCCCAGCACTTTGTAAGGTCAAGGTGGATGGATCACCTGAAGTCTGGAGTTTGAGACCAGCCTGGCCAACATAGCGAAACCCCATCTCTACTAAAAATACAAAAAATTAGCCAGGCATGGTGGCAGGCATCTGTAATCCCTGTTTCGCCCAGCTACTCGGGAGGCTGAGGCAGGAGCATCGCTTGAACCCAGGGGGCAGAGGTTGCAGCAAGCCAAGATTGTGCCACTGCACTCCAGCCTGGGCAAGAGCAAAACTCCATCTAAAGAAAAAAAAAAAAAAAAGTAAAGACTGTTGGATTTGGAGTCAGACAGCCCTAAATTCCAGGTCGAACTTTGCAACTGTATGGCCTTTGGCAAGTTACTTAACACCTCTGAACCTCAGTTTTCTCATCTGTAAAATGGAACTGATATTGGAGGGTTACAAAGATTAAACGCTGCATAAACGTGCTTGGCACATAGCGAACCTTCCCTGAACAGCAGTTCTTGGGCCAGCTTGACTTTCCACCTCCTGCCTTCCAGCTGCCTGCCACATGCTGTGTTCTCCCTGTGTCTGTGTCTACAATGGGGTGGAGCGTTCTTGTCTGTTTCTGAGCTGCGGGTATGCTTATACCCACCCTCTTTTCCCAGTCCCTAGACGACACTGAGCTCCGGCTGCTGGGACGGACGCACTCAGCCAGCGATGCTCTGCGAACGCTGGCAGAGGCCAGGTGCCTCTTTCCCGGGCGCGTGTCCGTGGACTTGATGCTGGGGCTGCCAGCCCAGCAAGTGGGACCGTGGCTTGGGCAGCTGCAGGAACTGCTGCACCACTGTGACGACCACCTCTCCCTCTACCAGCTGTCCCTGGAGCGGGGCACCACCCTCTTTGCCCAGGTACAGCAGGGCGCGCTCCCAGCCCCTGACCCGGAGCTCGCGGCTGAGATGTACGAGAGGGGCCGGGCCGTCCTTCGGGAGGCTGGCTTCCGCCAGTATGAGGTCTCCAACTTTGCCCGGAATGTGAGTCCTGGGGCTGATGGCTGGAGGTGGAGCATGGGCAGACAGCGGTGTTACTGGGGCATTGTGACCTTCTGAAGAGAAGGATCCCGACTGGGCACTCTCAGACCTGAGATGGTGGGACATTCTAACCTGGGGCCCCTTAACTGAGCAGAAACGGGCCTGCCCTCTTCACTCTGCACTATTTCCTCCTCCCCGCAGGGGGCGCTCAGTACACACAATTGGACTTACTGGCAGTGTGGTCAGTACCTTGGCATTGGGCCTGGTGAGTCCCTTCAGCTACAGAAAGGATGACTCAGGAGAGGAATGTCGTGGCTGTGAGAACTTGGGCCACATTAACCTTTCCAGGCCTCTATTTTCTCATATGTAAAATGTGGCAAAAAGTAATACCTCCCTGTAGAACTGTTGAGCATGAATTATAAGGGGTTTGATGTCACGCCTTGCACTGCGGTTCTCAGCCTTTGGTGTGTGAGAGAACCTCCTAGAGGGCTTGTTAAAACCCAGGCTGCTGGGCCCCACCTCCAGAATTTGCAATTGGACAGGGCTGGAGGAGAGCCTAAGAATTTACATGTCAGTATTTTAGGATAGATGATAAAAAGAAAAAAAAGGGAGGGGGTGGTGTCACGTGCCTCTAATCCACGCTACTTGGGAAGCTGAGGTGGGAAAAGCGCTTGAGCCCAGGGGTCCAAGACCAGCCTGGCAGCATAGTGAGACCCCATCTCAAAGAAAAAAACCAAAAGAAAATTTACATTTCTAGCCTGTTAGAGGCAGTTGCTCCAGGGACCACGTGATTTAAATCTGGTGAGCACATAGTATTAGCAGCTGCTAATGTGGGGATGGGTGTTGATGTTGTCAGGGGCCCACGGGCGATTCATGCCCCAGGGGGCTGGAGGCCACACCCGGGAGGCTCGGATCCAGACATTGGAGCCTGACAACTGGATGAAGGAGGTGATGCGGTTTGGCCATGGCACCCGGAAGCGTGTGCCCCTGGGCAGGCTGGAGCTGTGAGCATCCAAGGGCACAGGTCTCCCCCAGGGGCCCCACTCCCCAGAACCACCTCCACCTGTACTTCTTTTATTTCCTGGCTTGCCCTGGCCCCTGCCCTGCCACATACTGCCTGGTCCCTGTTAGCCGCCTCTAAATGCATCCCAGGGTAGAATGTGAAGAACGGGAGGAGCACAGGCCTCCTCTCCAAGACTCCTTGATGATTTTTCTTTGAGGCTGGAGGAAGTTTTGGCCCTGGGGCTACGCACTGATGTGGGGATCACTCACCAGGTAAGGAGTTGGGATTCTTGCACATCACTCCCTCCTAAGTCTTGCAGAATCAATTCCCCCTCCCTACCACCCCCCTACACACATACATATACACCTCTAGTTCCTGTGGGATTGGCAGCTAGAAGTGGGGCCTGGGTCTAGCTGAGGCCCGACGGGCATAAGCAGTGGGCAGTGTGGTGCATAGCTAAGAACCCTAGACCAGGGCTGCAGAGACCCAAGTTCCAGGCCCCATTATACCGCGGCCTTGGACACAAACCCTTCCACATCTCTGAATCTCAATTTTCTGAGCTGTGTGAAGCAATAGATAGATAAAGGGTTTCCAAATGTTTTTAAGGAGCACTGAGACCTTTCATAGGAAGCACAGTAGATAACGATCAAGCAAACCCAGAGCTGCTCTGGATAAAGTCAGAGCCATAAAGCCCTGGCTGGGGGTGGCTGAGAGGGGAGGAAAGAGAGGGGGAATAGAGGAAGGCCTGGCTTGGCTGGAAGCTGGGTTCCGGCCTCAGTGGAATAGGCGTGAAAGTGCTCACCTCCCTGCTGGCCCATTGGTCTGGTTCTGGTTTCATGCATGTCAGCTGCTGAAATCTCCATACTGGAGCGGCCCCTCCCCCATCTCTCACCACCATCCATCCACACGGCCTGGAATAGCCAGGCCAGCTCCCCACCTCAGACCCTCTGGCTTCCCCAGCACTGGGAGCAGTTTGAGCCCCAGCTGACCCTGTGGGACATGTTTGGAGCAAACAAGGAGGTGCAGGAGCTGCTGGAGCGGGGCCTACTGCAGCTGGATCACAGGTGTGTTGGGGGTGCCGGGCAGAGGGGGCTGAGGTATCCCAGGGAGCCCTGACTACAGCTTCACAGACCCAGGAGAAGTAAGAAAGACTGGGGCCTGTGGGTGCTGGGGACTTTGGCCCTGGTGGGGGATGGACTTGAAATTGGTAAGATGAAGTAGTCACCTTTGGGCCTCTTGGTTTTCCAGGGGTCTTCGGTGTTCCTGGAAGGGTCTGGCTGTGCTGGACTCTCTCTTGCTGACCCTCCTGCCTCAGCTCCAAGAGGCCTGGCAGCAGAGAGCCCCCTCCCCCGTACCAGGAGGATGACCAGATGTTCCTGTGTTCCAGGGTAATGCCAGGTGGGCTTTGAGGGCTGGGTCGGCCCTGTCTCTGCTCCACGTGGCCATTGCCCAGCCCTGGCATCCCCAGGGGAATGGCAGCAGTGAGGTAGATGGGAGGACATTTTTGGTCCGGGAGCTTGCATCCCATTCAGCATCTCCGGACATGTGTTCCATGGCTGGGAGTTGCTTACCACCCACGTCAGCTTCTGTTTACCTTTTGACATCAACGAATGAACAGTGTTTGGAAATCTTTCTACAGGCAGTTACCTCCCGAGGAGAAGCCTTCCTTACTTTGGAGTAAGGTCCTAAGACAGCTGGACGAATCAGGAAAACCATGTCCCCTCTAGGTATTATTAATATATGCAGGAAGGATCTACTGTAGGAATGAAGTATTTATAAAACCATTGAAAGGGACAGAGAAGTGAAAATTGGAGAAAGCCAGCAGCAACTGTCAGAAATGAGCAACGTGCAGGAGGCACAGAAGACTCCTGCTGATGGTCTCAGCTTCCAGCAGCACAAAAGCAGGTGATGTACAGGAAAATGCTCAGAAGATGCTGCAGAACCTCATGCCTACTGCCTGCCATGGCTGGAAAAGGAATCGTGGCTTCTAGAAGTGCCTCTCATTAGTGGACTTTAAAGCAAATCCTGGCGGGCAGGAAATGCTGAGGAATATAGTTCTCAGGCTTCAAGCCTCGACCGTAAGGGAGAGAACACAGAAGGACTTGATGTATGCTAGTGGGTCCATGTGTGTCCAGCACAGCAGCCTGCTGGACTCTGAGGACTGGGAAAGATCAGAGCAAGCCTTGCCTCTCATCTTTGGGCAACCGGAATATGTTTGGGGTGACAGGAGCCACACAGACTCTCCTCAGTCCCCTCACCCACTCCCTTCCCCCTGTGTCTTTCCCTTGAGAGTGAAGGCGGGTGGAGTTGACCAGAGGAAGGGGAGAGAATTCAGGAAAGACCCAAAGTGTTTGTAATTCTTCTTTGTCCTTTTACCTACAGAGATAGTCACATGGTTCTACTTAAATAGCCTAATAATCACATCTGGAGCCTGCATTGACTGTGGTCCTCACCCTTGTCTGAGCTCCTTCTTAGAGCGCAGAATCCTGATTTTGGGACTAGAAGCTTAGTCTAGGGTCCTTCCTCCACTCCCTACATTTTATTTTGAAAGATTTCAGACCTACAGAAAAGATGAAAGCATAGTTCAATGGAGACCTTATATTGTTTGTCTACTATGTATCTGGAAAGTCTGGAAATAGGCAAATTTTCATAATGCCATCAGGGACATCTTCAATCTATTGAAAAATATGATAGGCCAGACAGGGTGTCTCATGCCTGTAATCCCAGCACTTTGGGAGGCTGAGATGGGAGAATCACTTGAGCCAAAGAGTTTGAGACCAGCCTGGGCAACATAGCAAAACTCTATCTTTAAAAAAATTAAAAAATAAAGTGTTTCCAGACTCTGTGGTCACCCTATAGATTCATGAATTGTTAATTTTTGGCCACATTTATATCATCTTTAGATGGATATGTGTGTATAATTTTTTTGACTGAATAATTAAAAAGTTGTAGACATCAGGCTGGGCACAGTGGCTCATGCCTGTAATCCCAGCACTTAGGGAAACAGGTGGGCAGATCACTTGAGGTCAGGAGCTCAAGACCTGCCTGGCCAACATGGTGAAACCCCATCTCTACCAAAAAAATACATAAGTCAGCCAGGCATGATGGCATGCACCTGTAGTCCCAGCTTCCTGGGAGGCTTAGCAGGAGAATCACTTGAACCTGGGAGGTGGAGGTTGACAGCAAGCCGAGATCATGCCACTGCACTCCAGTCTGGGCTACAGAGCAAGACTCCGTCTCAAAATAAATAAATAAATTCATTAACCACATACAATCATTATAGATAGTTTTGTCTTTCTTAGAAAAGAGCTTTCCATTTTTTGAAGGGCTGATACTTTTTGGGAGGCAGGGACAGGACCTTGCTGTGTCGCCAAAGCTGGAATGCCATGGCATGACCACAGCTCACTGTAGTTGTGACCTCTCAGGTTCAAGTGGTCCTCCCACCTCAGCCTCTCAAGTAGCTGAGACTACAGGTGTGCATCACCATGCCTGGATAATTTTTTAATTTTTTGTAGAGATAGGGTCTCCTTATATTTCCTAGGCTGGTCTCAAACTCCTGGGCTCAAGTGATCCTTCCGCCTCAGCTCCCAAAGTGCTGGGATACAGATGTGAGCCACTGTGACTGATGAAGGGCTGATACTCTTAACCTGGACTTGGTGTGTTGTATGTGTGAGACAGAGTGGGAGGGGCATTTTCCTGGGAAGAGGTTCCATCAGTTTCATACCTTATGTCACAGGGTACCATGATGCCAGAAGTAATCTAGTACCACTGCCAAATGAGGCATGCTAAGCTCAGCCTCTAGCTGGGTGACTAAGGATGGGGCCTCCCCACCTCTCAGGTAGGCACATGCATTTCCCATGTGCCCAGTGGGTGTGAATATCCGTCCTTCTTTGACCCTGTGGTAACATGGTAAGTGTTACTACCTCTCCTTTATTCATGAAATATTAAGCAAGCACGAATGGTGTGCCAGGGGCTGCACTGGGCATGCAGGGAGGAACAAGACCTGTCCTGGCCCTCGAGGAACTCGCTGCCAGGTTGATAGATGTGTAAAGAGATTAATTCCAGACTTGTCAGTCAAGGTATGCAGGCAGGTCATGGGAGCCAGGGGCACATTTGGTTCTGAGGGGCTAGGAGCAGGACAGGGGATACCATTTTCTTACTACCTCCATTGCCCCTGCTGCCCTGGAAAGCCTGGCCCTGGGGCAGCCTGTGGGGTGACCCGTGCTGCTTGGGGAGCTGCTTCCTGAGACTTCCTCTGATCTTGACATTCAAGAAGCGAGCACGGGGCCGAGGCAGGTGCACCATCAGATAACCTGGGACCGCTCAGGTTTCTCCCTGCTGCCAGGGCTTGTGCCACCTGAGATGTCCAGGCCTCCCTGCTGGGACACCTCATGAGACCTGTACAGAGGAGCTGGGTGGGAGCCAGGGCCAAGTAGGGGTGGCACAGATCACCTTCTGTGACTCAGTCTGGTCTTACCCTCACCAGATGAATCAGAAGCTCCTGGAGGTGGAGCCCGGGAATCTAGTTTTTCAATGTTTGTACATGGTCCTAATGATCATTCCCTTTTGGGAACCCCTGATTACAATCATTTCTTGCCTTCCATCCCAGGAGGCTGGGGCAGGAGGAAAGAGAGACATAGCTATTTCCAGTGTCCCATGACAAAGTAGGAAGAGGGTCCTTCATTTCAGGTCCCAGCCCTTCCACGGCTCATCCATCAGGGGGCTTCTCCTCCCCCATTGTGGGACCTGTTGTCATCTTTTCACCTGCCCTACATGGACACAAGTAAAAGGGGTGAACAACCCCCTTGGTGATGAAGTTGGGGACGTATGGTACGTGTGTGGTTACAGCTTGAAGCACCAAACCTTCTGCATGCAGGTAGAGCACCGATCATTTGAAAGCCCATGAGCCACCCCACCCCATTGCTGAGCAGTGTGAAGTAGACAGGACAGCTGTTTTTGTTTCCATTTTACAAAGAGACGCACTCATAAAGGTTCCCTAACTTGACTCAAGTCCTATAGGCAGTAAGTAGAAGATCTGGCATAACACTTCTGGGCGTCCAGAAGTTTCTGTCCCATCACTGTTTTATCCTTGTTGTAGGTCAAGGTCAAGTGGCTTGCCTCTTAAATTAGGCAGAGTCCTGACCTCTCAAATTTGGGGGTGGGGAGGGTGAGAGTCTCACTGTGTCTTCCAGGCTGGAGTGCAATATTATGATCACAACCCACTGCAGCCTCAAACTCCCAGGCTCAAGTGATCCTCCCACATCAGCTCTCCAGCCCCATGTAGCTGGCATCATGCCTGTGAGAACACTCATCTCTCCTCTCACCCCCTTCTGCGAAGAAAAGAATTTTTAATAATAGAATGAAATAACTTGTGTGGTAGATTGTATTATGTCCAAAGCATTTGCTACCCCTCCTTGGCACGCACCTCACCTGAGGGCCTCGGGAGGATTATATGCCCTGACCTCGTTGAGTCTGGAAGGGCCATGAAACTTGCCTGGCACTACCCAGTGCCAGGTGGGTGGTCCATCAGCTGTCTGTTGCAGTGACCTGCAATGTCCACACGGAGACTGTTTTGTCAGCCCAGATCCCAGGGTAAAGAAGCTGGTCAGAGCAGCCAGCCATAAGAGACATGAACAGCAGAGAGAAACGAACCTCGGCCATTGTAGACCAGTAGGCTTTCCAGTTGTTGCTGCGCCGGAATTGAGACTAAACTGCCTGATTCAGTTTGTAATCCCACCATTCAAAGATTAGCCATTGTTAAGATTCTGGCTTATAACTTAGCAGAAATTCTGATATACAAATGAATGTATTTAGATACACAATCTTACAAAAATGGGATGATATACATCTTACTTTGGAGCTTTCTTGTCTTATCTAACGTGCAGTGAGTGTCTTTCTATGGTAAATTTATATCTATATCCAGTTTTTCAGTGTTGGGATCACAGCGTGTCTCCATTGTTACTAATGCATGGTTATGCCAAAAAATGTAGTTTTCCCAGTTTCTTTTCTTTCCTTTCTTTCTTTTTTTGACATCTCTGTCACCGAGGCTAGAGTGGAGTGCATGGTCACAGCCCACTGCAGCCTCAACCTCCTGGGCTCAAGCAATCTTCCCACCTTAGCCTCGTGAGTAGCTGGAACCATCACACGCAGCTAATTTTTTTTTTTTTTTTTTTTTGAGACGGAGTTTCGCTCTTGTTACCCGGGCTGGAGTGCAATGGCGCGATCTCGGCTCACCGCAACCTCCGCCCCCTGGGTTCAGGCAATTCTCCTGCCTCAGCCTCCTGAGTAACTGGGACTACAGGCACGCGCCACCATGCCCAGATAATTTTTTGTATTTTTAGTAGAGACGGGGTTTCACCATGTTGACCAGGATGGTCTTGATCTCTTGACCTCGTGATCCACCCGCCTCGGCCTCCCAAAGTGCTGGGATTACAGGCTTGAGCCACCGCGCCCGGCCACACGCAGCTAATTTTTAAAGTTTTGTAGAGACAGGTTTCTGCCACGTGACCCAGGTTGCTTTTGAACTGCTGAGCTCAAGCAATCCTCCCGCCTTGGCCTCCCAAAGTGCTGGGATCACTGGGGCTACAGGTCTGAGCCACCACTCTCAGCCTCCAGTTTCTTTTTTTTCTTTCTTTCTTTTTTTAAGACAGAGTAGTGCTCTGTCACCTAGACTGGAGTGCAATGGTGCGATCTTGGCTCACTGCAACCTCTGTCTCCCCAGGTTCAAACAATTCAACATCAACCTCCCAGGCTCAAGTGATCCTCCCACCTCAGTTCTCCACCCCTTTGTAGCTGATACTACAGATGCACACCACAATGCCCAGCTAATTTTTAATTTTTTTTTATTTGAGACGGAGTCTCACTCTGTCACCCAGGCTGTAGTGCAGTGGCACAATCTCGGCTCACTGCAACCTCTGCCTCCGAGGTTCAAGTGATTCTCCTGCCTCACCTCCTCAGTAGCTGTAACTACAGGAATACACCACCACTCCCAGCTACTTTTTGCATTTTTAGTAGAGAGAGGGTTTCACCATGTTGGTCAGGCCGGTACTGACCTCGTGATCCACCTGCCTCAGGCTCCCAAAGTGCTGGGATTACAGGCATGAGCCACCGTACCTGGCTAATTTTTAAATTTTTTACAGAGATGCAGTCTCATTATGTTGCCCAGGCTGGTCTTGAACTCCTGGCTTCAAGTGATCCACTCACCTCAGTCTCCCAAAATATTGGGATCACAGGCATGAGCCACTGTGCCCAGCTTAATGTTTGATAAATATAAACTCTAAGTTATTGCATATATATATATATATATATATATATACTCTGTGATGAACATGTTATGTAAATATTTTTATACACTGGTTTGATCATTTTCTTAGGTTTAGGATAAATCCCAAGAAGTGGATTTGCTGACTCTCAGGATTTGCACATTCTTTGTTT